CCAGGCGCCCACACGGCGGGCGTCCGGGGTGCTGGCTCTGCTCCCCGGAGGGTGTGGCTGTCGCCAGGGGCTGTCTGGGCCACCACTTCTGAAGGCAGCCACTGCGGACCGGTCCCCCGTTAGTGCTGCACCTGAAGACCGTTTTCTGTCTCCCTAAGACCTTCCTCGCTCTTCTTTAGAGTGCAGTAAGATTCGATGATACAGGTATTTCGTCTTTTTTATTTTATAAAGATAGTTCACGGGTGGACCTTTCGATTATTTCAAAGCTTTAGAAGTAGTAGCTTGAGTCACTGTGGACACACTGGATCTGGACCTGCGCGTTGCTCTTACTCTTGCTGCCGCTTTAGAAGTAGTAGCTTGAGTCACTGTGGACACACTGGATCTGGACCTGTGCGTTGCTCTTACTCTTGCTGCCTTTACCGCAGCTCGTTGAACCTGATCCCCGAAACACTGGTCAGGAGGAAGTGCCCTGAGCCCTGCTGGGTTCTGAGAGGGAAGGCGCTCTTATCTCCCCGGCTTGCTCCTCTGCTTTCCTGAGCCATGTTTTCTGTGCCCCTTTGTCCTTGGTCCTTATCTCGTACTCTTTTTTTGTATCTTTTCACTTTTTGAGGAAATTGTAGAAATGTCTTCCCACGTTTTTCCTCTTCTCACTGGGTACTAGTTATGAGGTACTGAAATGACACATCCATCACTAATTTGAGAATTACTTGTTTCCACTTGAAATTTTAAGAGGCTCTACTGACATATTTCATTCATTTATGATGAAGTAATTGCTCATCTTCCCGAATCCTCTTGACTGCATTTTTTAAGTGGTAATGTGACTAGCATTGGCCTAGAGCAGAGTGATTTATTTCTCAGCTTTCTTAAGGCCAGAGATTATTAAAACTCATGAACCATAAGAATAAATGGTTGTGAATGTTTGTCTTGGCCATTCATCCAATGAAGTTGTTTAGCATCTAGCTGCTGGAATAAGTAAAATGTGATCCATTAGATTTCTTCTTTTCCAGTTATGACCAGCGAGGACTGTACTTGTTAGTTGGAACATCAGAAGGAAACATCTTTGTTATCAATGCCAAACCCACAAGCTCATTTGAGATTCTTGGATTCACAGGTGCGACAGAGAATTTATTAATTAAAAATGTCAGTCACTTTATTCCAAAAAAATTAAGGCTATGAAAATGAAACTATGACAAAACAATTATTTATGGCATATTTTCTAAAAGGAAGAGAACACTGAAATTACAATTAAAAGTTACTTAGGAGAGTACCCACATTGTATTTAGAGATATTTGGGGAACTAGTATTAACTATTGAATTAAATAGTGAGATAACTGGACATTTCTGATATTTTTACAAGGAGAAGTGGGGAGTGATTTTTCCCTGAAATATTTTTTTTTAAATCCATACTTAAACTTTGATAAATCACTGAGTCTTTTCTCTCTGACTTTAAGTATGCTTTAGTGTGTTTTCCCCCATAATAGATTTATAAATCTATTCATTGATTTATAAGTTACTGAGTACCTGGGAGATACACAGTGCTGACATAAGGGAAGAAAAGGTCAAAAGAATTATTCAGTGGGGGAAGACAGAGCACAGTGCTTCGCAGGCATGGAGGAAGAAGCAATGAACTCTACCAGTTATAAGGAAAGGAGTGGCATGAAGGGGTGTGCACAGGTAAGGGGTACAGAGACAGAGAGTTTTCCAAGGGGTTCGTAGGATCCTTGAAGGATTTCCGTACATGCAGGATGCAGCATATCAATATTTCAGCTCTCCATTTTGTTTTTTAAAAAGCTCATATTGGCTAAATGGAAGACTTTGCTAGAAGATGAGGATGGCAGTGAAGCCTGATAGATGACAGAGACTGGAATTAATTCTGTGGCTCATGGGACAACATCAAGAGTTCCGAAATCATGGAATTAGCATGATTTGACTTGTTTTTACAGATGAGCCTGGCACCAGGGTGAGGATGTAGTAGAAAGAAAAGAAGATGGAATAAAAACAGATGAGTTAGGAAGCTGTAATAGTAGTCAGAGATGGGAATAATCATAACCCTCATGGTGGCTGGCAGGTTTTTACTGAGGGAGGCCCTACTAGGGGAGAGAGAATGTTTTAACCCATGGTGTATATTAACTCTTTGAGACAGCTGTCATGAGGTAGTGAGCTGCTCTTACCCATTTTATGGGCGAGGAGGTGGAGGCAGAGTGAACTGCAGTATTTATGCAAGGCCACACAGGTAGTGAGCTGCAGATCCAGGACTTAAGCTCAGACAAAAATGGAAACACTCAAATGCAAATAAATGAGAAGGATCAACAGCGCACAATAGTGTAGCAAAAGAGCAACGAATTTTATAAAGCTATTGTGAACATTTGCATGCAAAACTGTTCTTGGTGTGTGTTTTTACCCACAATGCACAAACTTGTACCACAGTCCCAGAGAGAAGAAACAGCTATGAGTGACGGCACTGACAGGCCGTGGTGTTGGGTTATATGTGAAAGCAAGGTGTGTTGGTTAGCTTTCTGCTCCTGTGACACATTCCTGAGATAAAGCGACTTCTAAATTAGAAAGGTTCATTTTGGCTCACAGCTCTGTAGTCCACGGTCAGCTGGCCGGTTGCTGTGGGGCCTGTGCGAGGCAGCACAGTGTGGGAGGAGCGCGTGGTCGAGGAAGGACGCTGAGAGCCAAGTGGGGAGGTGTCAGGGTTGAGGGCAGGCTCCCACGGTCCTCCCTCCCTTCCCTTCGGTCCCACCTGCTGGAGGTTCCAGCGCTTCTCCGCAGCACCACCGATGGGACCAGGCCGCTCAATACTGAGCTTTGGGGAGCTTTTATCCACATCTTAGTGCTCTGTCCCTAGGTCCCTGGCAGCCTAGTGCCTCATGGCAGGAGCATGTGGTGGCTGAGAAGCAAAGAGAGGGGAGAACAGGCTGGGGGTCCAGTGTCCCCTTCGAAGGCACCCAGTGGGGACTTCACTTCCTCCAGGGGGCCCGGCTTTTTAAGGGTTCTAGTGCTCCCCAGCAGCCCATGGGCTGGAGAGCAGGACTTGTCCACCTACCCATGGGGCGGACAGTGGCTCCAACGCTACCAGCCCAGGTGGTGGAAGTTTATGATGTCATTAACTGAAGGCAAAGGGCTTTTATTTGTTACGCAGCTGTTCACACTAACTTTATTTGCACTATCAAAAAACCAAAAAGAACCGCATTGCCATCAATAGTGAATGGACAAACTGGAAATCCATACAGTGGAATATTAGTAACAAAAAGGAGCAAACCTCTGATACGCATAACACGGATGAACCACAAAATAATTGCAATGAGTGAAAGAAACCAAACGCGACATATTATGCAATTCCATTTGTATACAATTCTGTGCCCTTTTATATTTCCTTATTTTTTAATTTGAGCTCATCGGTTTTTATAACCAATTTTCTTATTAATGTCTATTAGTTGTGCAAAATGTTGGGTTTCAGTGAGTACATTCTGATCATATTCATCCCCCAGTGCTGTCCCTTACAGACCTCTCCCCATTATTCCCTTCTTCTTGTCTAAATTAATCTTCCTGCCACCTTTACAACATTTTTAAATGTTCCACATTTTAGGGAGCATATGCGATATTTGTCTCTCTGAATCTGGCTCATTTTACTCAGCACCACACTCTCCAGCTCCATCCATTTTCCTGCAGATGGCAAAATTCTATTCTTCGTGGCTGGATAATACTCTGTTGTATATATGTGCCTCATCTGAAGAAAGCTGTTTTGTATTGTTTGTTGGTTTGTCGTTTGAGATGGGGTTTTTCGAGACAGGGTCTTGCTATGTAGTTCAGGCTGGCTTTGAACTTAGGGTGATCCTCCTGCTTCAGCCTTCCAAGTGCTGGGATTACAGGCATGCAGCACCAGGCTGAAGAAAGCTTTTGAGGTTAAGGGATAGGGTGAACTGATAAGCTCTGTGGGTTTGAAGTCAATAAATTCTTCATTTGGGGATATTTTAGAGTAGTTTAGAAATAGAGATATATAGTTCAAGATTTAAGAATGGAGTCTGGACTGGAAAAACATTGAAACTGAGTAGATGTCTGGAGAAGGGAGAGTAGACACAAACGGAGGGGCTGGGGGTAGAGGGCCTGCCTAGTACGCCTGAGAGCCTGGGTTCAGTCCCAGCATACGCCATGTGTGTATACACACACACACACACACACACACACGCACGCACACACAGGCAAACTAAGGGCTTACTGCAGCCAAAGGACACCCTCGGTGTGTACGTGGGATGGCAGCAGATGGGCGGGCACGGGAGTCTCAACGCAGCAGTGACCCTGAGGCAGCAGTGAGAGGCAGTCAAGGCAGGGAAGGGGAGCCAGGAAGGGGCAGCCTCTTTCTGGAAGTTTGCAGAGCAGAAAAGAGAATGGTAGCCACCAAACAGCCCCAGGGTTGAAGGACGGTTCTTATCCAAGGCGTGGATCTCTGCGGGGCAGGGGAGAAGGGTCCCAGAGGATAATAAGAAGCGATTGCCAGTGCCAGGTCCAATTGGAGCTTGGAGGGACGGGCTCGGAATGAGACCGGCCTGTCATAGATTCTGTCAGTGCTGGGAAGCAAAAGGTAGAAACAGATCAATTGGGAGGCCTGGGCAGGGCAGGGGAAAGGAGCTAGGGGAGGCTCAGGGTGCAGCAAACCCTGCTGAGGTCAGACGCTGGGCTTCTGGAGGATACACTCGGAGTCACGGCGGCGTTTCCGCCACATCCACACTCCCTTAACTGGAGTTAAGGGAAGAACAGTGATACCTGACCCAGCTGGCCTAGACGTCTAATCTGTTGAAATCCAAAGAGGTCTGTGTCACAGCCAGGTAGGGTGGCATTCTGGGAGGCTGAGGCAGGAGTATTGCAAGTTCTAGCCCAGCTTGGGCAGTTGAGCAACTTAGGGAGACCCTGTCTCAAAATAAAAACCACAAAGACCTGAGGATGTAGCTCACTGCAGAGGCTCTGGGTTTAATCCTCAGTGCCAGAAAAAAGTAAGTCTGTGTTACTTAGGTTGAAGGTAACTTTGGATATCAGTAAGTAAGTTTGGTCCTAAGGATGGAGTGAAGACAATCTGCAGTGTGATGTTTGGATCGGGATGGTAAAGATCCTCTGAATTTAACCAGTGACCACTGCATTTGCTTCTAGAGGCGAGCAAGGATGTTCTTCAGATATCCACAGTGTCTCTTTTGGGAACAAATGCGGTGAAAGTGATGGTGCTTTCCTCGCTTCCAGAAGCAGAGAGAAGCAGGCTGGAAATATTTACGCTGCCTAAAAAGCTACCACAAGGTAAAGAAAAATGAACAACCCATCCCTTCTGTTCTGGCCCAGTTAAGTTGCGCTATGATTTCCTTTTCTGCTTTGTTTTGGTTTGTTTGTTTGGGGAGGGTCCTAGTGGCAGCATTGTTTCTTAGCGTGTGAAGAGGGAATGTGGCTTTTCACGCACCTTTTCAGAGTGAGGCTGATGCGGCTTCCAGTCTGAAGTGTGGACTTTGCTCCCGGTCTTGTAACTCACAAATCCGCTTCATTATTGGAAGAAAAGTAGTGGGGCCAACTGACATTTATGTCGAAATTATGTGTGACTTTATGATGTCTCTGCTTTTATATTTAAATACGCACAGTGAAATTCAGATAGTTTACAGTGCAGTCGCCTGTGCTAACACAATTGTAAAGAAAGCTCTCTCGAGTAGGTATGAGAAATAGGCTCGCTGTTTTAGATGACAAATGTATCTGGGTAGTGATTTTGCAAGTAGATAATCAGAGGGTAGCAGAGAAAAACTCACAGTCTTTTTATGCTTTACTCCATAATCTCTATACTGTCATATGATTATTTTAATGATATTTCTTTAAGTTAATTGACAATATTAAACATGGTCTACAAAAGATATTTTACTATCATTTTGCTATCATAAGAATTTCTAGCCATAAGCATTTCTAGTGGAGATAGTTATTTTGAAATCCTTTCTTATTACTAAATAGCCTTTACAATGTTAATCAAGTATCTAAAGTCTTTGTTTTGCTTTCATAATAGTCCGTAGCGATTTAAAATGCAAAATCAGTATGGTACAGGTGATCTCTTTTCTTCCCCAACATTGCGCTTTCTACAGGCATTGTCAATGAAAGGGGACGACTGAGAGATGAGCTCATTCACAAGCACCTGTGTGAGGTGGAGCACACCCTGGCTTCCGCGGTCTTGGACTTTCAGAGGAGCCGGATATGTGGGTTCTGCCGCCACGTGCCGTACATCTGCAGCTACCGTCTCCCTGAAAAAGTAGGCCGTCGTGTATCTCAGCACTCAAAGCCGCATTGTATAGTTAGGCCCAGTCCTCTCGAGTTAGCAGTTGGTTTTATCGTGTAACATAATTCCCTTGAATTAGGTATGTATTGGCGTTACTTGTTAATCCATCATTAAATATGTCTGAGCAGCCTCTCTATTAAGCCACATATATCCTATGGGTCAGATAAACATACAGTTGGCACAATATTAGTTTAGGGCCTTAAAAAAGATCTAGCATCAGAAAACCTATTCCATAGATGCCACGGACCAAAAAGTAGATGGTTTTCAAGGGACCTTTGCACAGGTGCCCTAAGCAAAATTGCACAAAACATTAAATTACGTTTCTGCCCTTTCATCACTGCCTAGCACACCCCGGTTGGTGACTCTTGCTGCTGTCCTTCCTCCCTTGGGCCTTGCAGTGTCCCGCTAATGCCTGTCTTTGGAACTCAAGAGTATCATCTACCTCCCTGTCTTTCTGAATCCCTGGGTTCTAGCCCTTTGCTTCCCGAGTAGCCGGTGTTAGACCTTGAAGTTGGGAGAAGAAAGAGGTGGGTGGTTCGTGGCGAGGGGTCTTCCAGAAAAGCTTAGTGGAGATCTGGACTTTGAAGAACAGGCCAGATTTAGACAGAGAGACAATGTGTGCAGGGGTGGGCGGGACTGGGGGACAGGGAGAAGGGCTTTCCAGAAAAGTGAGGGACACAAAGGAAGAATCCTGACTCCTTTATTTTGACCTGTACAGGAGAATGTCTGAAAATGACAGTAGAAACGTAGGTTGTAGATGTAGGCTGGGATCTTTAATGACATGTTAACATATGAAGAGGGTTTTCTTGCTTGGCAGAAACAAACTGATGTTTAAACAAACATTCGACACATGGGACACACACAGCTGCCTGTGCTACCCAGGACTGGCTCGTTTCCAAGCCCTGTGCTCATGTACTTGGATCCGACCCTGCCTGGCATGCACAGCTGCAGATGCCGGGTAACGTGGTCCTCTTCTCTGATTGGCAGGACCAGGGCAGCGTTTGCATTCTTAAGCCATACCAAAAAGTGCAAAGCAAACACTATGGACCTGGAATGGCTCACCTGTCCTCACACGGATTATGGCTCCTAACGGCAGCGAAGTGTGGAGCCCTGTGCATCCGAGATGTTTACACTCTGGTAAATTCCTTTTCTAAAAAAAAAGGTGCAGGTTGTGTACTGATTTCAGAGAAGGAGCAGAAGCCCTCGGACAGTGAATCAGAGCTTGTTCTAATCCACTCAGCCTTTCTGTAATTATGGATGGTATAATGACATTTCATGGGTGATTTTGTGCCTTGGCCAGACTCTTCTCACTCTGACGGGCAAAGTGAGATCTGCACATACAGTGCTGGGCAGGGCTGCAGCCCGGGCTCTCAACCACCTCTGTGCCTTGGAAACTCACTGAGCATCACTGAATTCCTGTTGCTCAGAGGAGAATTTAAAAGCCTGGGAGCTCTCCCTGGAGAGCTTAGAAAGAGAGCTCTGCACACTCACGCCCTGGCCAGACCGGGATGCTGGAACCGCAGAGGGTCCTGTGTCCTCCACCCCTGCAGCCCAGGGCACCACCACCACCATCTTTCTGGTTCCTACCATGCTCAGACCTATGATAAGTGAAAGCTGCTTCTCCCCACTGAGAGGCAGGGATCCCTCCCTAAGTTTGGGCCGTGATTCTTACCCGGTTTCCAGACCCGCGTGGAATCCCCTTTGAGTCCACAGACAACCTGGCGCCCTGGCTGGACCATCCCAACTCTTTTGCTCATCTCTTAAAGAGAACATATTTGGGCAAAAGGAATACTATCATGTGGGAAAATCTTGAGTCCCTTAGAGATCATTTCAAAGTGAATGATTTGCAAACCGCTGCATTCTACTACTCAAATAAGTTGTCATGTACAGAGCAACTCATAGTGGCCCACTACTGACAAGGTTGCCTCAGAACTTTGAGTGATCCTTTGACCTCCACTCAACTCTGAGCAGCTCATATATGAGGCTGCTTATATCACTGTTTGCCAAATTGACCCACTGTCCATTATCAAAAGACTAGGTAAATAAAACTGTATCGTGTGGCAAAATCAGCACACAAGTCAATCATGGAGCATTATGCAGCTACAATACAGAATGAGGAAATCTTTATGCAATGATGTGGAAAGAACACCAAGATAGATATACAGATTGTTAAGGGGAAAAGCAAGGTGCATAATATATATATGTATATGTGTATATATGTGTGTGTGTATATATATATATATATATACACACACACATATATATGTGTATATATAATGTTATAATTTATGTAAGACATGTATTATGCAAAAAATTCTGATGTTGACGCTATCTTGCTTTACTTGCGTGAGGTACTGGAGCATGGACACAGGAGATTCACGGCGCACTCTTGTAGTTTGTGAATGTTGAATGGTTTGAACATGTTGCCTGTTTAAAAAGTTAACTGAACAAGGCTCATGCTGGTTCCACCATCTGCCTCGCAAGCGCAAGGACCCATGTTCAATCCCCGGTACCAAACAAAACAAAACAAGACAAGCCTCATGCTTGAGAACCAGTGCGACACAGAAGTCGGTCTCTGTCTCTAGTCAAGGAGCTCAGGCTCTTGCATTGTGTACCACCTTGGGGATGAGGCCTCCTGTTTGCTGGCCCTAATTGGTTTAATGAGAGCCCCTCAGGGCTCGCTGTCTGGCCATCTTCACAGTGCCTGTCACCCTCTTGCATCGCACCCAGGCACCCTGTGCACATGCAGACCCTGCCTGCTACTTGAAGGCACCCGAATTTGCCCTCTACCTGCTCAGGGCCCTCCGCCAACCCTCAGCTCTCAGTGTCTGATGGTCCACTGTGATCAGAGACCATAAGCCCGCTCCACACTGTACAGAGTGGTGGGAGGACAAAGTGGCACCGGGAAACGGTTTGAAGTGGAATTTAAGTGCTGCACATTGCCCAGAGCTGCTGCCACCCCAGGTGAAGTGCTGCGGGCACATAGAAAATATTCATCCCCAAGAAACATGCATGCAACCTGCTAGAAAACCATGTGTAAGTCAAACTTGTAATAACTTCTCTTTTTCCCTAAAATTCTTGAGGAAATGTTTGCTCAGTGTCGGAGCCACTCCCACCAGGGGCATGGGATTCAGTCCATGAGAATTTCAGTGGATGGACAGAGCATCCTGGTAAATGGGAAAGATGACGGCACCCTGGTCTTCCTCAAATGGAAGTACGTACAGCACACAGTAAGCAGCCCCTGGAATGTGGTGCTCTAGAGTTTATTATTCCTAGGACACAGCAAGACAGCCGCTTTGAAGAGATGGTGTGTTACACTCAGATTCCCAGAGAAGAGGCCACACCCTCCTACAGGGGCCCCCATGGGAGGCGCCCGGGTGGGTAGGTGGCTGGGGAGTGGGGAAATGTGGGCAAGAGCCACGGTTTCCAAAGGTTTCCAAAAGAAGGCTTGGGCAGGCCTACAATGGGCTAGTCTGAACAAGTCAGCAGGTTCTGGGGCAGAGGGGCTGGGACTTGGTCCTGGAGGATAAGGGCCCCCCACCCCCAGGTGGCTGGAAGGTGGCTCTGGACTGGGGGACTGCCCAGGACCAGGCTAGCTCTAGAAGGGGTGGTACGCCCAGGACGAGCAAGACCCCAGCTGTCAGAGCCTCAGAGTACACAGTGTAAAAAAGCGCAGTGCGTATATGTGGGGATGAGCAGGCCTACTGCAGGAGGGTGGGGAGTGAGGACAGTGGTGAACCTTAGGTTACCGTAGACACTTCTCTTTGTTCCCCAGAAAGCTGACACCTGTAGGTGTGCGTGTATTGCGTATATGTGGGGATGAGCAGGCCTACTGCAGGAGGGTGGGGAGTGAGGACAGTGGTGAACCTCAGGTTACCGTAGACACTTCTCTTTGTTCCCCAGAAAGCTGACACCTGTAGGTGTGCGTGTATGTAGGTGTGTGTGTGCGTGCAAACAGTTACTTACTAGTTAGATATTCCTTAGGTGGTACTAGCTTGTTTAGGTTTGGTTTGCTTAAGCTAAAATTAAAATTTGAAACATATCAGTGCCACCCAAACGTACCGATGATGACAGCAGATCGAAAACAAATGGATGACACAGAAGAGACAGCCTGGACCTTAAGTGTTGCCAGGTTTTATCTGCTAATGGATATCGCTTATCAGTGTTGATTGGTTCAGAAAAAAAAAATTCCCAATACCGCCTGTGATTAAAACAGTAATAAAACAGAGCCTTTCTCAGTAACATTGTGAAAATGTTAAACATCGTGGAGTCAGTATTGTATAGCCACTTATTTCAGAGACTCCTTTGACAACTGTTATCATCATGCACATTTTATATACAGAATCCTAAATAAATATACACTTGTATCTTACTTATTAAAAAGCCCTCTCATCCTTTACAGTGAGCAAATAGCATCTCAGGCAAACAGCAAACAGGTATGGGAGGTGAGAGCTTTATTTATAGAAGCAAGGCCATTTCCATCTGTCAGCAAAGACCTGAAATCTGACTCAAACCACAGCTGGCTTTGAACCGTGGTCCCGTTCTGAGCTTGTGTCCCTGGGCAGTGAGTCGTGGACAGCAGCATCGCTCCTCCTGGGGGTTTGTCGGTGGTGCATCTTGGCCCATCCTGACTTTCTGCATCAGAAGGTCTGCGGGGGGCCAGGGCCTCCGGGGGCGTCGTGTCTGAGGTTGCAGTGCCATGCGATGGTGTGTGTGCAGGTAGTGCAGTACCTGGTGTGCTCAGGGCCTTGGCCAGGGAGCGGGAGTGCACCCCACAGAGAGGGAGAGGCTTGTGTCCTGGACCCAGGGAAGGCTTCTTCTCCCTGTAGGGAGATCGCATTCTGGTTACCACAGGGCTCTGTGGAGAGTGGGACACCTACTTCTTCATGCAGACGTGATCAGGTGTTGGGACAACACTGCTAAATGCAGTTTTTGTTTTAAATGTGACTCTGTAACCTGTGTTTTATGTTCTGTTCATATAGGAGGCTTGGGGGAAACTCAGTGAGTGAAATTACCGAATATTGCCAGCAACTGTTACTGTCTTTGAACACCAGCATGGAGGAGGAGAATAATCATCTCAGTGCAATGCGACTTTCCTCAGCATCGGAACCGGAATCTGAGCATGCAGTTGAGTTCCAGCATGGCTGGCTTACTTTGGGGGGAAGGGTCTTGTAAATCATATCGTTTTCAGCTTATATTTCCTTTAAGCACATTTTTAATAATATTTCTCAGGCCGGGGATGTAGCTTAGTGGTGCTATAGTGCAAGGTCCTGAGTTCCATTCCTGGTACCGGGAAAAAAAAGTATTCCTCCTTATCCGGGTAGCCTATGTTTTTTAAATAGAATATAACCTACACCTGAATGAAAATGTTCAGTCTTTCTCCAAATGGTCACAGTGATTTAAACCACAATAGAGTATCTTGACTTGTCTGGAAAAATCTTTTCCACTAATACTACTGCTTGGTCAAAGTGATCCCTGTGTACTTTCATGCCTCCTATTATTTGGAAATATCTGGTGAGAGAGCAACCTTCATTCATGTTATCAACAAATACTGAGTTCCTTCCTACAAAATGATAGGCCCGTGGAGATACAGCCGTGAATAAAAAAGTCTTCTTTTGTGGTATTTGCATTCTGTTCGGAGGCTGGTCGTTGCAGAGAGGTGGATAAATAAGTAAAATAAATAAGGAACAGTTATACAGTGACAAGTTCTGTTTGGTGAATAAAAATAGGTTCATGTGACAGTGTTTGCCTGGATGGCCTCTCCAAGGAGAAAGCTCCAAACTGCAATCTGAATCAAAGCCTGCCACTCTGCGAAGAGTCAGGGCTGGAGGCCAGGAATTCAGGTCAGCACAGCACAGGTTGGCATGTGACGGGTGAGGACCCACAGGAGACCCGTGCCACTGAAGGGGGCGAAGGAGGAAGCAGTCAGAGATGAGGTCCTTGAAGGGGGAAGAGACCAGGTGAGGAAGAGCTGTGCAAACCGGGTCGGAGCTTGGCTTTCACTTTGCAATAACAAGGATCTACTGGAGTGTTTTGATCAGAGGAGTAATAAAACCTCGGTTATTTTTGTTTTTGTTTTTCTTTTGGGGGGGGTTGGTACCGGGGATCAAACTCTGGACCTTGTGCTTGTGAGGGGGGCGGTGGAACCACTGAGCTACATCCCTGGCCCCTCGGTAGCACTTTTGAAAGGACAGCTCACTGCTGTATGGAGAATGATTCCCGGAGGGCCGAGAGTGGAAGCAGAGAGATGACTCAGCAGGCTGTGGCAGAGGCCTTGGTGGCCGCGGTGGAGCAGAGAATGCCGGGAGGGCAGAAGGGATGCACTCTGTTTCGGGGTTGATAGAAGAGTTCATAGAACTCGGTGATGGACTGGACTTCCAGGGAGAAGAAAAGAAAAGAGTCAAGGGCAACTCCTAGATTCTCTTTTCTGAACAACCAGGTAGGAGACTGGCCCATTCGTGGGATGGGGCCAGTGGTAGGGGAGGGAGCCTGAAATTAGTGTGGCCCTGAGCTCAGAAGGCCAATCTGATACCAAGAGATGTCAGTTGTCCATTGGATCCGTGAGACTTGACCTGGGGGAGAGGCCAGGACCGGATGTAATTGGAGAGTCAGGGATGTGGCTGGAATGGAGAGCCATAAAGCTAGTTAAGGTCAGGATGAAAGGATGGTGAGAAGAGAAGAGACCAGGAGAGAGCAATTTAGTAAAAGCAGGTTCTAGAGAGCTGAGAAAGAGCACAGGAAAGCAAAGGAAAGGGAAGGGGTGACCAGTGAGGTCACAGAAACAGGGTTGGCAGATCCAGACTTCTCCGCGACCTTTTACTACGAAGAAGAACACAGACAGGGTGTGGTATGGACGTGGCTGTGTCAGGCAGGCAGGAGTTGCTTTCCCAAGAGATTAAAGTACATTTGGGACTGGGGATTTAGCTCAGTGGTTCCGCCATCTGCTTCACAAGCAAAAGGACCTGAGTTCGATCCCCAGTACCAAAAAAAAAGGAAGGGGATGATAAAGTACATTTGGGTGCCTTTGGGGAAGACCCAGAAGGGCGAAGTGGACAGCTTAGGGGGAGGAAGAGATTGAGATCCTCCACACAGATGGCAGGGCAGGCCTTGGAGGTGGGAACAGTGTGGTTCAAAGCAGTGGGAAGGAGGCTGCTGTGACGTGGGGACCGTGGGCTGCATGGTCATTTCTGCTTTCTCGGTGACTTTCCAGGTCACTTGCAGAGTGTGGCAGTTAGACAAGGTGTTGCTGTGGTGCAATTTCATGGACACTCTGTATTATTGGACTTTGAAACCTTTTTATTTCTGTGATAAGGACAGACTAGTAGGAATTAAGTAAATAAAATGTTGCATCTTGAGCAGGCAGATATCTGGTATTTTTGAAATGCAGCAAATGCAGAAGGGTTCAACACAGTTGTATGAAGTACAGAGGGAGGAGGAGAACTAGATGCAATTTTTAATTTAAGAAATGTTTGTCTTCTAAGGTGTGTCAGAACAAGCTAAGCATTGCCTCATCACAAGAGGAATTGATCGTCACTGATAGTGAGAAGGAAATTCCCTGGGTACAACAAAAAAACCAAGAGGTATTAATCAACCATGGGATAAGTTTGAAATAATGTTTTTTGATGTGCCAAATAGATTAAGTTCCTGTGCCGACCGAGTAGAAAGTTAGAAGACTGAATGAGACACAGCCTGGCAGGGCCGAGTGTAACTTTCCTGGGAGCGAATAAACACCCTACCTATGGGGCAGCCTTTAGACAGACAGCTTTAGGGACAGGGCTTAGGCTAACATGAAATCCCACAAAAGTGGCCATTTGGCTCGAGCACTGCGGCGCCCTATTCTACAGTGGGTTTTGGGTGATGTTCTCTGAAAGCAGATGGTTCAGCCAGGAGCAGAAGGGGTGCTGCAGCTCGGCTGTTACCCAGGTGACACAGGCGGCAGGATGCTGACAGCTTGTGTGAGCTCAGTCCGCTGTGTAGACTCACTTGAGTTCCTAATCAAAGACCACATTTTCTTTTGGCAATTATTTATTATTTATTCTTTCACTACTTAATTATTTCCTTTGCATTGGCTGTGTAACTGACACGAGTTGTAAATCACTTCGAGGGCACTTACACAGTAGAGTTAGATTTAAGTGAGGCATTGCGGAGGCATCACATTCGCTGTGCATTTCAGTCCGTGGGAGTGTTTTATTTCAGTTTCTGGAGAAGTGCTATCTGTGTATCTCTCTCAGTGTTTGTCACCTGTCTCCCTGGGGTTTCTCTTGCTTCGTTAAATGACATGCTTGTTCCATTTCAGGCTATTGAAAAGGAGGTTAAGATGTTTTCCCAGAAAAGGAAAGCAATAAAAAGCGGAATCAAAGAACTTGCTAAAACCGTAAGTCTCATGGTTTTATATGCTCATACATTGCACTGTCAGACTGAAATTACATTTTGAACTTTAGTTCAGTAGTGTGAGAAGCCACAACCCTTTTTTTCTCTGTTTGTCAGCTAAGGTTTCTGGAGTACTTTGACAGGGTCAAATTTTTGCTATATCACACTCCACATAAACAGTAGCATTTTTTTCCCCAACGACCCTGCCTCATATAGTATTTTAATAATTTTTTAATCAAAATTATACATTTACTTTTTATAAATATCAGAGAGAGACCAGCGTCTAACTAAAGAGTGGTACTTCTTTAAACCCTGGTGTTACTGGCTTTTTGGGTCTCAAAAAACTTGCTTCAGGTTCTTGGTATCGTCGACAAGAAAAAGGTAGCAAGAATTTACATTTATGGAATATAGAAAAGAATTATGCTCTGCAGAGTGGCAGTGGGCCAGTGAAAAGGGTCACAGCACCCACAAGGGTAATGGCAGGAGTCTTTTATATATCCTGCCCTAGATTGCTTCTCCCCATGCAAACAAGGCATTTCGAATAGTCATCCTATCAGAAACTCACTTAGCCTGATGTCAGACTTAAACTTTCCTATCAAAGGTCCAGTTGGTTTTATGCCAGATGTAAATGGAAAAATGAATATAGCATTTTCTTATTGGTCCAGCCACTTCCAGTCCAGGATCCACGAGTCTCCATGATTGACAGGCCACACCCACTTGCTCAACCAGTTTTCCCTGCTCTAGTCTACCTCACTGTCACTTTCCTCTCCTCAAAATTGAGCCCTCTGACTATGACGGTAAACATAATCCTCTACACTTACAGAGATAGAAAAGGTCTCCAAGATACCCCATGGCTAACCCTCATATCATTCTTTTCTGAGACAAAAACTCATGTGCATAAAAAGATGGAGTACAAAAGACAATATGCTGTGATAATTTATAAGCCACCCTTAAAAGTTCCCTTCTGACTCCTAAAACTAATGCCCAACTGGCAGAACTTAGCCCTTCCCAGAACACTGGAGCTCAGTAAAGGCCTCAAGAGGTTACTGTTTACATCGACTCAAAATGTGCTTTCTTGGTACTATATTCCCATACTGCTGTCAAAAAATCCTGTCAACAAATAAATCCTCTATTAAATATCACACACACACACACACACACACACACACACACACACACACACACACACACACACACACACACACACACACACACACACACACACACACACACACACACACACACACACACACAAGATCAGTTTTTAGCCTCTGTTTCCTATCTAAGATAACAGTTATACACTGCAAAAGACACCAAACAAACAAACAAAAAAACCATATGAGGTCATACAGAGAGACTAACTGGCCAACCTAGTGACCAAGACAGCTGCTTGACAGCCTTTTCCTCTGGAGTTCACCCAGATACCCTTATTTCAGAAAAAAAAATCCCTGAGAGATGCCAAGCTTGATTGTACCTGGGCTGAGGCAAAATGGGCTCTATTCCAGAGACACCAACTCTTCCCTTCCCAGTGGTTTCAAATGGTGTAAGAAGCTACTCCTACCTACAGCTAGCCAATAAAAAAAGAAACAAATCATTAAAATTCTTCACCAGGCTTTCCACTTAGAAAAAGAAAACCTGCTAAATGGCTCAGAGTTTATTTATAGATAAAAGACTCCTTCGTATGACTTAACAAATTATAACAAGCCTATAAAATACACCCACTTCCATAACCAGTAAAGTGAGAGATATCCAAGAAAAAACTGCCAGATTTCACCCACATGCCTGCTACAGTTGAATGGGCCAAAAATAGTCCAGGTTGCTGTGTACGACAAGGAAAGAATTGCCCAGAGTGTACCTCGTAGTGAATAGTAAGCTTATTGAAGATCGTGGAGCAGCAGAGAGAAGCAGGCAAAGAAAGGGACTTGATAACTCAGGCTTCCAGTATTTAAAGTGTCAGACACCCCTGATCCAAGCCTACCCCACTCCGCCTCTCTGATGCCAGCAGGTCTGGGTGCCTTCCTAAGGCTCATCCTAGATAACTCTTAGGGTGGTGCTTGGTGTGTGGTTGAACGAAGAGAAGGGACATGGCTGGCGCATCTTCCCTGTGTTTGGCTCACAGCAGCAGGGATAAACGTTAGGGTGGTGTGACCCTTCCAGTCGGGCCAAGGGAACAGCGTGACTCACTCAGCTCCTTTGTTTCTAACTGTACCATGCCCCAAAGTGAAGAGACCCAGTACCTCTTAGAGTGGGTAGATACTTTCACTAACTAGGGAAACTCTTTCCCTTAGGCAATAAAGACCTTAATGTTAGAGGTTCTTCCCAGGTTCAGACTCCCTAAGATTCTGCAGAGTGAAAGTGGCCCCTCCTTTACTGCTGCTCTTGAACAGTGAACAGCAAACAGCAAGCACCCCAGGCCCAGGGTCCAAGAAAAGAAAATAGCCCACCATGAAGAGCTAATTGGAGCAGCTGGTTAAGCTTAAAAATGTAAAAGAAGCAGCAGGAACAAAAGATATAAATGAGCCTCTCTGTGTACTCTTCTTACTCATCTAAGCCCCGGAGGAAGAACACAATTTGGACTTCCATTCAAAATCCCCTCATGGTGGACTTCCACCACGAGCTTTTTTCTTCTTTCTTTTTTTTTTTTTTTTTTTTTTTTTTTTTTT